GCGGGGCCTGCGGGGACGGGGGCGGGGCCTGCGGGACGGGGCGGGACCGAGGGCCTAGCCACCACCCAACTCGCAGGGCACTGTGCAAAGGCTGCCGCTGCCTGGAGCTCGATTGCTGGGATGGGCCCAACCTGGAGCCGCTCATCTACCATGGCTACACCTTCACCTCCAAGATCCTCTTCTGCGACGTGCTCAGGGCCATCCGGGACTATGCCTTCAAGGTGGGTACACCCCTGGGGGTGGGGAAAGCGATGCTGGGGAGCCCAATCCCTCCTAATCTACCCTTGGGCCTCCAGGCGTCCCCTTATCCCGTCATCCTGTCCCTGGAGAACCACTGCAGCCTGGAGCAGCAGCGCGTGATGGCGCGACACCTGCACAACCTCCTTGGCCCTATGCTGTTGGACCGGCCTTTGGATGGGGTCACCACCAGCCTGCCTTCCCCTGAGGTGCTGGATGGGGTTCCCTGAGGAAAGGACAGGGGAGTGGTTGGAGTCCAGCTGAGTCTTGACCAGCTGCCCCCCCCATCCCATCCTTAGCAATTGAAGGGGAAGATCTTGCTGAAGGGGAAGAAGCTTGGGGGGCTTCTCCCCCCTGGAGGGGAAGGCAGCCCTGAGGCCATCGTGGTGTCAGATGAGGATGAGGCTGCTGAGATGGAGGATGAGGCAGTGAGGAGCCGCGTGCAGCACAAGCCCAAGGTTGGAGGGGGAGCTACGGGGGGAGGGAGGGGGAAGCAGCCCTGGGGCCCTCTCCCATCACCCTCCATCACCCTCCATCACCCCATGGGATGTTTGCCTTGTCCAGGTTCTCTGTGGCTGCCACTCAGACCCTCTGCCCCCCTCTCTCTGTCTCCCTGTCTTTCCGTGTCTGGGTTTCTGGCTCTCTCAGTGCCCACCTGCCCCAACCTCTGAATCTAACCTGGGCCTCCCCGTGGCCCCCAGGAGGACAAGCTCAGGCTAGTGAAGGAGCTCTCTGATATGGTCATTTACTGCAAGAGCGTCCATTTTCGGGGCTTCCACAGCCCTGGAACCCCGGGACAGGCTTTCTATGAGATGGTATCCTTCTCTGAGAACCGCGCCCTCCGACTGCTGCAAGAATCAGGTAAGCCTGGCCCTGCACCCCCAGGATGCTGTCCATCTCTCTGACCACCTGAGCTGGCCAGGGTCAGGACTGGCTCCCACCCCTTGGAATATCACCCAGAGCTGGCACTCCCTCCCCTCTGCTGTTAACAGACAGAGCTGGTAGGGAGGGGCTTGGGCTCACCAGATGGCCTCCACTTCTAACCAGCCCACACCCACCTCAGGAAACAACTTTGTCCGCCACAACGTGAGTCACCTGAGCAGGATCTACCCTGCTGGCTGGAGAACGGACTCTTCTAACTATAACCCTGTGGAGATGTGGAACGCAGGCTGCCAGATTGGTATGGGCTGGCTGGAGCTGGGAGGAGGCCTGGATGAAGGTTTCTGTCTGGAGGGTCAGGGGCCAGGAGCCTCTGGAGACCCAGGCAGAGCCAGATGCAGGGATCTGTGGGCTCAGGAGCTGGTAATCCAGGAGCTGGACATTCCCTCCACTAGCAAATCACAGTATCTGAAATCCAATCATTAGCACACTTGTCCTTTGAATTCCAGCACCAGAAATGGAATTCGAGGTTGGTGTGGTGGGTGACTTAGGGGGCAGGAGGGCAGTAGGCATCGGAGTGATCCCAGACCCTGCTTCTGCCTCACCGTGTGACTCTAGGCCTCAGTGTACCCCAAGAAGGCTAAGTTCTGGGGCCCCCCAGGCCAGCCCACAGCCTGTGGTTGCTCTGTCCTGCCTGTAGTGGCCCTGAACTTCCAGACACCTGGGCCAGAGATGGATGTGTACCAGGGCCGCTTCCAGGACAATGGGGCCTGTGGGTACGTGCTGAAGCCTGACTTCCTGCGAGACCCCAACTCTACCTTCAACTCCCGAGCCCTGGCTCAGGGGCCCTGGTGGACTCGGAAGCGGCTTACGGTCAGGGTAAGGCCAGGCACAGGAGGGACAGGTGCCCGTGGGCCTCCCTTCTCCACTCACTACCATCCTGAACCCTTCATTGTCCTCTGCCTCCTGCAGGTCATCTCAGGGCAGCAGCTGCCAAAAGTCAACAAGAATAAGAACTCAATCGTGGACCCCAAGGTGACAGTAGAGGTCCACGGTGTGGGCCGGGACGTGGCCAGCCGCCAGACGGCTGTGGTCACCAATAACGGTAAGTGCTGGGCCTAGGCCAGGCACAGCTTCTGGAGCTGGCGTCCATGCTGTTGACATGGTGCCTGCACTCCTAGGTTTCAACCCGTGGTGGGACACGGAGTTTGAGTTTGAGGTGGTTGTGCCAGAGCTCGCACTCCTGCGCTTCGTGGTAGAGGATTACGATGCCTCCTCCAAGAATGACTTTATCGGCCAGAGCACCATCCCCTTGGGCAGCCTCAAGCAGGGTGAGTGTGTGCCCGAAGGAGGGGATGGCAAGGGGGGAGGCATCTTTGGGCAGGGGCCAGCTGTCCCCTGAAGCATCCTCCCTGAGTGACCGGAACTCTTCCCTGTGCGTCCTGCCCATCCGCCTGCCAGGATACCGCCACGTCCACCTCCTGTCCAAGAACGGAGACCAGCACCCATCTGCCACCCTCTTTGTGAAGGTGACCCTCCAGGACTAGGCCTGGGGAGTCTGGTGGGGACTGCCTCACACAGACCAGGCCCTCTGCCCACACCCGGGGGCAGGACAAGGGCTGTCTCACCCTCTTGCTCGGAGCTGGTGGCCCCGCACTGCCTTCAGCTCTAACCTATTGTCTGCGCTGCTGCCTCTCCGGGGTCCCAGGAGCTGGCCCAGTCCCTGGAGCTGTCCTCAATTCCGTTAGGAACCACACTGCAGCCTTCTCCATCCTCTGGCCGGCCCTAGGTTGAGGGTTTTTATAAAAATCGTAAGAGTAAGTCCTGTGGTCTCTTTACCTGGACACCAGAAAATCCCTGTAATGTGTGTATGTGTCCCAGAGCACTGGGGCCCCAGCACCTCACTCTCCACTTCTCCACACTCACACTGGAGGCAGTGTGTCTGTCCCCCTGGGCAGGAAGGACTGGCAAGAAGCAAACCCCTCTGCGGCAGAGGGTATGGAGGGCTTGGTCTTTGGAATGTCCTGCTCCCCCCAGAGGCATCCCTACTGAGTGACCCAGACCCGAAAGCCCCCTCACCACACCTTGTGATGACCACAGGCTTTTATTTTAGTGACCCAGGCGTCTCTGAGTAGAGACTGCCGGTAGGGCCTCCCCAGGGCCTCAGGTGGGTGTCAGGAGGTGCTCGCGGGGGTCTGGCCATGTGAGGGGCAGGGCCTGGGTTCAGAAGAAGCCGAGCTGTTTCTTCTGCTGCTGCTGCCTCCACTTGGCCATGCTGTAGAACTCCTCCTTGGACTTCCCAAAGATATCTTGGAAGTCAGAGTCTGAGAGATAGAACTGGGCAGGGGATGGGAGACACAAAGGAAGTGGGGTTATCGACTGAGCCCAGAACCCCGTCCCACCCACCCAGAAGTGTCATCCTCTCCCACATCTCTCTGCCCATCACCCCATCTGGAACAGATCTCTAGGCAGCCTGTCCATTAGCCCACCGTCAGTGGGGCATGCCCCGGGCGCCTCCAGCTCAGCCTTACATGCACTACCAGTGCTGGGGCAGTGAGTGGGTGGCAGAGGGTCTCAGGCACCCACCTCCTTATGGGCTGGGTCCACGCCCTCTGGCAGATCCTCAGCGGCCTGGTGCATGAGCCGTTCTCGGGGCAGGCCCCCGTTGCTCACGCATCTGGGGCTGCTGGGGTAGCTGCTGGTGCTGCTGTTGGTGCTGGCACCGGTGCTGGCATCGCCACAGTTCGCCTTGGGGCCCAGCTCCAGCTCGTTCTCTGAGCTGTCCTCGGAGCCCTTGAGGGCCTGCTGGGCCAACGGGCCTGCCCTGCCACTGACTGGCCACCTGGACAGCTGGAAGTTGTTGATCTCCTGTCAGGAGAGGGGACTCAGGCTGGGGAAGATGGGGGAAAGGCTCCCACAGGAGGCCACCAGGAGCCCACTGGCCCTCTTGTCCCCCAAATGCCACCCCTGCCACCTCCCAGGGCCCAGACCCCTGGAGGCCCCAGTACGCACTGCTGTTATTTCAGAGATGGCAGATACTGCTCCCAGGCTGCCCT